CACACACACACACACACACACACACACACACACACACACACACACACACACACACTGAAAATAGGCATCGCGCACAGTGCGCACCTTGCACTGGTAGCGCGTCCTCATGCGCTGCGCGCACGGCGCACCTCGTGCGCGTGCGCGCGCAGTGTCACCACGCGCATGCCGCACGGCGCAGCGCACCGCATCGCGCACCGCAAGTATGATCCGAATACATTGGCAAGTCTGCTTCGACAGCTCTATCTGTCGAAGCCTTGAAGGTCTTTACTTTCCCAGCTGTCCTGCTAGCACTGACCCACACGCATAACAACGACGACATGATGTTTATATGTGACTTTGACATGTTGGTCTGTGTTTGCCTGTTTTTCAACAGTGTGGATGCACAAGCCATTGATCTTGATATGGATACAGATGATTTGGAAAGGGAAGCTATCCCAGAGTATCTGGAGGAAGAAGGTCATGCCATGAATGGATCACAGGCAGGAGCTAGGCCATCAGCGACGGACAGGAGTGGACATCCAGAACGCAGCACCCAAGGTGGTAGCACCGAGAATGGACAGGGAGAATCCTCCGGAAAGGAGAAAGAGAAGAAGCCAGCAAGGATGCAAGTTTCATTTGAGAAGTTCCAGCAGATCACAGACTCCCTTGTGATGAGATTAAGACAGCACGAAGAAGAGCAGGGTTCTGGTGGAGGTGAGATGTTGCATGGGACCAGAAAGGAAATGGCGCACAGAACCGTAGTTCTTTCTCTTTTGCGTGTGTTATACTCTGTGGGGCAGACTATCCATGCGATATCAATCTTCTCGTCCAGCTATCATTTGCGTAATCCAGAAACAAAAGAAAGAAAAAATATGTTTCCTCGATCTGTTTTCATTTATTTTGGCATGTGTTAGTTGCCACGTTTTCTGGAAGCAAAATGGGCAGCAACAAGGAAGGGAAAATTGGAAAATATCATTTAAATATGTCCTTGTCCCCCCCAGCACATCCTCGGCACAAAAACTCTTTTGTTCACCTCGTATTTATCCTCCTCTGTGTGATTGTCATTGTCTGGCTTCTTCCCGTTCGCCACCACCCTTTCTGCTTCTGCAATGGGACAGGTCACCCATCGCATCACATCATCGAATGGAGTTGGTGAGAATGCTCGACTCCTGAACCCCACCACCGGATATCGGTCCTAACATCACAGTTCGTGTAACTCTTGTGCGAAACTTTCTGCTCGACTTCCTTCCGAATGAAATACCGTGCAGACCAGGAATCTCAGTCCAGAATTGATTTTAAGAAGAACAAGTCGCAGGCGTGCCGCGGCAGGCCTTATGCCGTATGAGACCGAACGACCCCCCAAAAGCAGAAAAGACCCAAAAAACACATCAACCCGATTTTGCGCATTTGGTGAAGCATGCCAATTGGAACACAGGCTGTCCCATCTAAACACGGTGCGGGCCTTGCTTTTGATGGGCCCAGAGGGAGCGTCTTCCAAGACCCGCTCCTTCCTTCGATAGTTATACCAGAAGACCAGAGCCGGCCAGAAAGAATCAATGTCTGTATCCATGTGGCTGAGAGGCGCCGCATCAGTGCCCATGTGGCAGAGTTGTATCAGGGGACATGTGCGGAACGAAGCAGGCTGGGCGGCACCATGTGGGCCGAGTCATCCACAGCGGACAGGGCGACACTATGTGGGTCAGTTAATATCGCACAGAACATGCATCACCTTAATTTTGAGAGGCAGTGAGATGTGGAATTTAGAGAAGAATATATAGAATCAGGGCCTCGCTTTGGCACTCGTCAAATGTGTAAAATGTGAATGAATCTTCCAGCAGAACATGGTAAGATATACCACCATACCTTTCGTCCTGCATGTGGTGAGCAGCGCCCTCATGATTTATACCCTGGTTTGAAAAGGAAAAGTGAGAAAAAGGGTGCGGGAATCAGGGCCTCTCTCCACCACCCACCAAATGTGAAAAATGAGAATGAATCAACTGCTAGAACATGAAACGAAACAGAGAAGATTGCATGGCCCCTTCACAAGAAAGAAAAGGAAAAAAAAGAAAAAGATACTCCGCCATAATTTTGTCTTTTGTGCATGCGCAAAAGACCAAAATTATGGCGGTGTATCTTTCTTTCCATGTTCTAGCGATAGCTCCATTCTCATTTTGCACCACCATATTTTGTCTTTCATTGCATCTGGTATGTACTTGTAGACCCCGTGGGACTTGGTGTGTACTTGTATTTGAATTTTGAACGTATGGCGGAGGCGGACGGCATGAAGGAAAGCTTCGGGATGTATCTGACCGCCTTCACAACCCGCTTAAAAAATAGAACCCCGAGGCCCTGTCACGCGGAAATGACGAACAGCGAAGGGAAAGAAAAAGAACGCCGTGGCGCCCATGTAGCGTCTTACGGGGCACAATCACAGCTCTGGACGTATCTGCCCGCGTTTACATGCGGACCTGGATACATCTGGTGTGCAACTCCAGATGCTTGATGGTATACGAGCCTTGAAACGCTGAAACGACAAAATGCTGCCAAAGAAAAAAACGCAACTCCAATGTGGGCCTTGAACCCACGACTGCTGGCGCAAAACGACCCCGAGGGAAACGGGAAGAGAACGAAATGGCTCTGCAGTTCACAGCCTGTCCCGTGAGACAACCCCGTGGGACTTATTTTTCCGTGTGGGCCCGCTGAAACGACGAAATGCTGCCAAAGAAAAAAACGCAACTCCAATGTGGGCCTTGAACCCACGACTGCTGGCACAAAACGACCCCGAGGGAAACGGGAAGAGAACGAAACGGCTCTGCAGTTCACAGGCTGTCCCGTGAGACAACCCCGTGGGACTTATTTTTCCGTGTGGGCCCGCTGGGAGTGTCTTCCGAGGACCGCCTTTCGCTTTAAGTGTTCATAGAAACTGTGAAGTTGAAAGTCAAGTTGTGAATGAAGCTCAAACCGTGTTCGAAGTTTTATTTTTTATATAATATGATAATAATGAATATAATCCATAATAATAGGCTGCATCAACCTCCAGCAAAAGGTGTCTGCCAGTGCCCAAGGACTCCATGAAGATGGAAGAAGTCAAATGACCTCAAGGAGGATGACGATTGCCGGGCTCCAACGCACGCACGTAACAACACAAACACTTCAGACGCTCATTCCTGTCTCTAGAAAACCTTATTAGCGAATCTGTCCATTCAACTCTGTACTCCGTATATCAGACACAATTTGTCAAAAACTGCGCCGGACTCTTCCCGTCTGGTAGTACCCAATTTCACCCAGATAGGTCATATGCTAAATTGTCACAAGGGGCTGAGTAGGTTCCAGAGATATTCAAGCGCATTAGCCTAGAGCCCGAGTCGCACCCCTTGCAGAATTACTCCTACCGTCTTCACCCGAATAGAACGGCCGGTCATTATAGCTGTATCTGGCACAACTTTCGGTCCAGATGCAGCGATACTGACCGGGCGTTCTATTCGGGTGAAGACGGCAACCTAGAACCTTGAATTGTTCTTATTCATATTCGTATTCCTTGTCTGCCTTATTAATAACTCCATCAGCTCTAAACTTACAGATCTACGTCTAACGAAATAACAGTATCCCAGATAATCAGACACAATTGCGTTATTGCACAGTGCTTGCAAACACAATCAACTACCGTCTTCCCCCGAACATAACGCACCCTAAAAATGAATGTATGCAAGCTATATTTCCGGCCAGATAAAGCCAAAATGAGGGTGCGTCTTGTTCGGGGGAAGACGGTAGTAGTCCTGCCAGTGGGACACTGTTCACTGCGAGGTTCCTTGCATGAACCTCCAGGCTACGGTCGCCTGAACACAAAGAAATTGCAAACTTACCCTTGTATTCAACTCCCGCAGATCTTGGAAATGGCCAAGACACCCCTCCAGAATCAAATTTGCGGTGCCTGTCTCATGAGTCATGACGCTAATTGCACACAGACTCCCGTAGCAGAAGTTGGTTGCAACTTCAAAAATATGTCGTTATGGTGCACGCTTGAAGAACATGCGTGCATATATGTGGAGTCTGCACATGTGTCGTTAAAATTTTCAAATTGTTTTTTTTTTTCAAATTTTCACACTCTTGCCAATGTGTCGTTAAAACCTGGGTAGTCACCAATGATTGTTTTTCACAGGTCTCTAAAAATTAGTAAAAAATTAAAAAAAATAAAAATGCCTCCCAAATTTTTCAAGTGAGTAGGTGTGGTGTTGTATATATCCTGTGCTGGTGTCAATTTAGTAGGTACTAGGTGCAGCTAACAGCATAATTGTATTCTGTGAGGAGGCGTTGAATCTGGCTGAGCGCAGGAGACACTTCAAAGCTGCTGCGATGGGCTGACAAGCTGCTTGTTTGGGGTTACCAGGGTGTTTTATACTTATGTGTTTGTGTGGGCTTTGTGCACTTTGGGAACCAGTTCTTCTATTGTCAGCAGATGAAAGTGTGTTACACATGCAACGGATGAACTGACCAGCTTTGTTCGTTGACCATATTTTGCAGATGGAGGAATTGCTGGAATGAAACAGGGCACCCTTCTGCAATGGTACATCGGCGAACAAAACAAGAAGGGGGTGTTTGCTAATGTTGAAGAGGTCGTTGAAGAGTACCGCCTCGTCCGCAATGTCATACAGGTAAAGTCAACGATCCTGCCATGTTCTCGGTGAAAGGTTGGTGTTACGTTTGTGTTGCAGGTTTGGTCATTGTCTGTGGTCTCTATTTGTGTTCCAGGTGAAGGGCAGACTCACACCTGTGTTCCACCCTCCTCTATGTCTGTGGTCTTTGTTTGGGTCCCTTTGTGACCCAGGGTAATGTGTGTTTCCATGTTCCCAGTGAAAGGTTGGTGTTACATTTATGTTGCAGGTGTTGTCAATGTCTGTGGTGTCCATTCGTGTTCCTGGTGAAGGGCACACTCACACCTGTGTTCCACCCTCCTCTATGTCTGTGGTCTTTGTTTGGGTCCCTTTGTGCCCCAGGGTAATGTGTGTTTCCATGTTCGCAGTGAAAGGTTGGTGTTACATTTATCATTTATGTTGCAGGTGAAAGGTCAAATGTCTGTGGTGTCAATTCGTGTTCCAGGGGAAGGACACGCTCACACCTGTGTTCCACCACCTCCCTTTGTGCACCAGGTTAACGTGTGTCCACATTTGTGCTTCCCGATAAGGTGTGGGCTCTATGTGCAGTATCTGGATATATCACACTTGCGGTTGTGTGCCGACGCCGACCACATGTGGTGCACGGTGCATGGTTCACGCCGCATGGCCGAAAGAAAACGGGGCGTGGGTTGGTACCCCCCCTCGCCCTTCACCAAAGAAAATCTAAACAGACTTTAGCAATTTCTTTTTTGGGCCTTTGCACCAACAGGCGTCCAATGTGTTTTAAACTGTTTTTTGCATCCTGGATGTAGACAAGCGACCTTTCAGGTCAGATACAGTCATGAAGAGTGTGCTTTTTTTCCGCTCGTGGGAACTAACCATTGTGTCCTCGAACCAGGCCTTTGTGTACAGAAGAAAAAGGAAAAACAGAAAGTAATCTTTGAATCTTTCTCAACACCAGGCGCCCTCACCATGACTGTATTGGGCCTGAAATGTCTCTTATATACATTAGAGGACACAACGCTCCCTCACTCATTTTGTGAACTTCAACGGAGCAGTGTTAGTATACTATCTCCAATATATAGGACCTATCTTTGAAGTCGGGTACAGTCGTGATTAGCTTGCTTTCTGCTGTCAGAAACTGGCCATTATGTTCGGATGGGTCCGTTGTGTACAAAAAAAAAAGGAAAAAGAAAGAAACAGAAGGTAAAAAAATCTTACTGAACACCACACCCCCTCATCATGAATGTATCTGGCCTGAAAGGTATCTTGTATGCATTCGAGGACACAGCAGCCCTTCATCGAAGTTCACAATGATACACTCCTCCCCCCCCCCCCCCAMCCTGAAAAACTTTGAAAAGCAAAAAAGAGCCCAGATTTGGGCTACTTTCGGTGGGTACAGAAATGCCCCACTGATTTGGGGGCAAAAAAAAAAGGAACGTTCCTGGACTTCTGACATGCCCAGGCTGACCTTGCAAGTGGCCCGGCTGCCGGGTCGCGTCACGATTAAATGATTGTGATGTTGTCACGAAATCGCCATTTCATTGTTGTATTGTGAATGGTGCAAGACCCACCATTCTTGTGTACTTTATAGCATCGGATCGACACACACACGTTTGCCTTCCAGCACACCTGCACCTTATTTTTTTGTCCGTCCTCTTGGTGATGCCCTTCATACACATTTAGTAGTTCCATACAGTGGGAAAGGAGAGAAAGGGGAGGGAAGGAGGGGGGAAGAGGAGAGTGGAGGGAGGAGAAGAGCAGCAGGGGAGAGAGGAACCTCATCGGCTCTTCAACACTCACCTGCAGAGGAGACTACTGGCAGAGACTTGCACAAGTGGGCAGTCGCAGTTCGGCCTGCAGAGGAAAATGAGCTGAGGACCGGGCATGACCTTGGAAGGGATTGTGGCCTGTGGGGGCATGACATCCAATTTTTGCAGTTGCAAATACTGCATCGAATGGTGAGGCGAGAGGCAGGTCATCATAGGTCTGAAAACAAAGATTTGCATAGCTATATACCGGGTATACGCCCAACATGTTTGCAACACATCGAATGCTGATCACATGCTACCGCAATGTCAGGGAGGTCGTCCCAGTGCACCACTGAGCGAGTTTCTTGGGATTCCGCAGAGGCAGAGCCTGTCCGTGGACAACCGACGACTCGGATGGATCCAAAAGGTAGAAATGTTTGGCTGTTGGAAAAGCCGTTTTGCCACTGCTTGTCCTGAAGGCGATAACTGTTGAGCACAGCAGACTGCCGGCGGTTTGTGTGAGAGTCTGTTTTCAACTGCAGGCTGCCGTTTCTGTTCGTTGCCGGGCAGCCTATAGTTGAAAACAGACTCTCTCTCTCTCTCTCTCTCTCTCTCTCTCTCTCTCTCTCTCTCTCTCTCTCTCTCTCTCTCTCTCTCTCTCTCTCTCTCTCTCTCTCNTCTCTCTCTCTCTCTCTCTCTCTCTCTCTCTCTCTCTCTCTCTCTCTCTCTCGCTCACACACACACACACACACACACACACACACACACACACAACTGGATGTGGAAGACTCAATTACAGTTGCAGCCCAATGAAGTACAGCATTCACATGGGACACGAACGGAGAGGATGTGGCGGATGATGGTGGCATTGGGGATAGTCCATGCAGTAAAGACATGTAGTCTCCGTGAGTCCCATGATCGCTTCGGCTGTGCATGTGTGTGTGTAAATTGTGACCTTAACTGCCCGAATTCAACCCAGATGAGTAGATCCAAAATTAAAGCAGCTTCACCTCTATAGCCGACACAAAGCACACTAAAGATGGGTAAATCCAATATTCAACCAGTTTTACCTCTATGGCCATCAACATGAAGGGGATGATGAAGCACAATTTTCTTTGCTATCTTTACCGAGGCTTTCCTTTTTGGGTATCCCTTTTATTTCTTTTTGGAGCTCCCCTTTTACTGTGCCTCTAAGGTACAAGGCTTGCCACGTTGGTTGTGGTTGAGTGCAAGCTGCCCACATACCCGTGTGCCATAATGGCCAACTTGCCGCCTATGAAAGGAGGCAGAGTAAATTGGGAGGTATACTCCTGTTCAGTTTTCATCAGATCTTCAGCTTATCTGTTGTCCTAATGATGCCCATACATATGTGTGCTTGCGTGTGTGTGTGGTGCTATGCACGGAAAAAAGGAAGGGGGTAATGTACAGAAATAATGAAGGCAGTGTGTGTGTGTGTGTGTGTGTGTAAGAGAGAGAGAGAGAGAGAGAGAGAGAGAGAGAGAGAGGAGGGGGGATGCCTATTACGAGGAGAAATCTATTTCATTTGATGTGAACTGTTAAGGAGATGGTCAGTTTGTTCCGTTCTTGTTCAACTCAGTGTGTTTAATAATTTAATTTATTAATTTTATTCAGTAGTTGCTTCAGTTGTGTTGATCTATGCTGGGTGTGCATGTCATTGGATGTGAACAGTTAAGGAGAGGGCCATCTTGTTTCATTCTTGGTTAACTCAGTGTGGTTCATTTGTTCAATACTTGCTCCTGCTGTGTTGGTGTATACTGGCTGTGCATGCAGCACTTGATAAAGAGAGAGGGAGTCCTGATTGTCCTTCATGATGGCTCACAACCTGATGCCCAAGCTTCCAGCCAAGCTGATGCCAGTCAGGCCCCTGAAACTGCTGTCGACGGTGCAGATGCTCCTACTGGAGCTCAAACTGGTGCTCATGGGAAATCATCCATAGAGGACAGAGTGCTGGCTGTGAATCCAAACTATGTTGTTGAGTAAAGTAGCATCCTCATTACGACCGCTTTTGTATTCGTCTGCAAAACCTCCTCCTCACCTCCCCCCCCTCCGCCTGCTCGCCCCCCTCTTCAACACCTAGGCTTTCATTATTGTTCTCCTATGCGGAAATGTATCCTACCTTCCAGTTTGCAAATTTTCCACCAAACAGAACCCCAACACATTGCTATAGTCGTGACTATAAACTCAGTGTAGCATCCTCATTACAAACGCTTCTGTATTCGTCTGCAATACCTCCTCCTCATCTCTCTCCTCCCCCCCTGCCCTGCTCGCCCCCCCTCTTCAAAACCTAGGCTTTCTTTATTATTCTCCAATGCGGAAATGTATCCTACCTTCCAGTTTCCAATTTTTCCACCAAACAGAACCCAACACATTGCTATAGTCGTGACTATAAACTCAGTGCCATAGCCTCCGCTGTTCTTATTGCTATAGTCCTTCCAATGAGCTTTGCTATTGGCCTTGCTAGAGTCGTTGCTACAGCCATTGCTATGGTCATTGCCATGGTCATTGCAAGGCAGGTTAGCAGATCAAAGGCCTGTCTGGCGATACATGTCCGTGTTTTTTTCCTTTGATTCGAACAGACTGCCAATGATTGTTGCTATAGTCATTATAAGGCTACTTATTTAGTTTCAGCGTCCAAGTCTTCAAGACTTGATGTGTGTCTGAGTATCGGATTTCCTTCCTTCGGAGGGGTAGTTCCCTCAGCAAATGTGGGTTCTATTCTGGCTCCCTGTGGCAGGCAGATTCCTCTTGAGATTAGAGGGTGACGCCCTGCTGAACGGGTTGATTGTAGAGGCACCCTGTCCAGCTTTTATTTGATTTCTAACTCTAGGCAGCAATGGATCGGCACAGCACTTATTTGAAGTTATTTCACTTTCTTTTCTGCGCAGCTTTTTCTGCTAATGTGAGTTCTAGCGTGGCTCCTTGTTCCAGGCATCAGTCTCATGAGATTTGAGCCGCACTGTGGCTCTCTCTTAGCTGCGCCTTTTTTCATCTTCTTTTTCTATGGGGTTGGAGGCATCAGTCTCATGAGATTTGAGCCACAGTTGACTGCATCTGCATTGCCAAGGGAGTGTTACAGATGCAGATGTGGTCTGATTTCTTCTGGCCTGCACAATGGAAGGGGAGGTGCTGTGTTTCTTCTGACATAAATGTGTCTGACTGGAATTGCAAGGTTCCTTATGGCTCCCTGATTGCCAAGCCATTAAAACTCGTTTCAACATTAAGAGGTGAAGGGCGTCGGAGAAAGAGGTAGGGTATGGGCTTTTGTGATAATGTGTCAGAAGGGATTGGATGGTTCCTGAATCCTGATGCATGTCTGAACCCTGAGGGATGCCACGACTCCGTCAGTGCTGGATTGGAGGTAATGATGATGGGGGTTGTGGGGAAGGGGGGGAAAGGGGGGAAGGGGGGGAACGTGGGACAGCGGGGACAGAGGGGACAGAGGGGGAAGGGGGAGGAGGGGGGGTGGGAGGGAGGACGGAATGGGGAAAGGGGCGGTGAGAGGGGGATGGGAGGATGGGTAATGAAACAGGTGATCGAGGGACAGTTTCTGCTCCTAAGCATTTTGGTGAAACCACATGTAAGTTGAGTGGACTGTCTCACGAGTCCTAGCAATGTCTGGTGAATGCCCTTATGTACACCTGGCTCGATATCCGTTCTGGGGAGCATCAGTCCGGTTCGTTCTCCACTGTGTGCTGAAATTTCTTGCATTCATTTGCTCAGGACAATCGAGAGAGAACATGAAAATACCAGAAGCGATCAGCGGCACAGAACTGAACCAGAGATCATAGTGTTGAACTGGATAGCATGCTTCTTGAATGCTGTGGCCTGCATCTGAACTGTTGTAGCGGTTATGGGTGCGCCTGTTGAAAACGCTGTGCAACACGTGGCTGACACAAAATCTACCTGCTGCCATAAACCCCTATCTACTGCCCAGAGGGTGGTAAAAGGGTGTGGGAGTGCTCTCAGCCTCCTGGTTATCTGACGCACTGCACTAACTACCACAGTTGAATGACTGAGGCACTGCACTAACTACCACAGTTGAATGACAATTCCAATGGCCATGCTACTGCATGTCTGTCTCTTATACACATCTAGATGTGTATAAGAGACAGGTGAGGAACTGTGCCGATTGTCTCAGTAGTTGCAGACCCTCATTGGCACTTTGGCACATTACAACCCGCGCAGTAGAATAAGGTACGTCAGCAGCCTCCCGCTCCACACAGCCCATTCAATATGCTTGATAGGGTTTGGAGGGGAGTAATATTGGTAATATGTTGGTTTGGGTGGGGGGGGGGAGCGATGAGAAGACAAGGACCATTAGATATGGCTAGTCAAGTGCATCCGAGCATTCGGGCTCTGTAGCGCCCACATAAGCGAAACCAAAACAACAATCGTCAATTCTTTGACTTCAAAGTTCCAAAGTTTCAAACACTTGTCTTTTACTGATGAGGCCTAACTCTGAGGGGATGACTCCACTGGTGGTCTGGAAACAGGTAATATCGCCTTCTGATGGTCATAGATTTCTTGCATCGATGGGGCTAGGGTTATGTCCGATCATGCAATGTCAGCACAGTCCAACGATGTTCTACGACATCTTGGTTCTCTCCTTCACAAGGGTCCTATTTTGATTATTCATTGAGCTATCAAGTTTTTTTATTTTTATAGGTTCTGAGTTGCTGAGCTTCTTCTCAGAAGGTCTGCTCATCCACACACACAAGTAGCCTCCCTACTTTGGGCGCTGTGGTCAGATATGTCGTGTGATAGCCTTGGTACGGCCGCATTTGGAGGAGGTGGGGGCGGGGAGTTGCATGAAACAGAGTGTAGGAGGGTTTCCTTACCTAGGATGGACGGACGCTAACACTTTGCTTGGATTTCCAGGAGCATGCCTTGAAATTGGAAGGATGCATCAGAGAAAAGGTCCGCAGGAACTCTTCGCAAGTGTCCACACCGAACGCGGTGTCTCCATGTTGTCGTCGCAAGCTTCCGCCAGTGTCCACACCGAACGCGGTGTCTCCATGTTGTCGTCGAAGATCCAGCCCTGGTACTCCAGGTGGTCGACGTACCAGACCCCGCCTTCCCCTCACATTCCACTAGCTGCGTCTGGTTTGGTGCTTGTTTCCTTCCCGCTGATTGATTGGCCAGGCAGTTGGGGTCATTTCCCAGGTGACCACAGCCTCTGCAGTGTCTGCAGCGAAAGCACGCCGGGTTTGTCTTTGTGGAGACGAAGACTGTTCCCCGTTGGCCATTCTTGCGAAAGAGCCACACCTCTGGGAAAGCAGGTGGTTCGCCTGATGGAATGTTGAGGAATGTTATTCTGAATCGTGGTTTGGACCCAAGAATTCGGGATCTGCTTCCAACCATGCCACCACCGGATTGCTGGGGTACTTGGTCTCCAGGCGCTTGTGAATCATGCTGTTGTACCCTTCTGACAAGTTGTCAAACTGCACCCAGAAGTGGTTACCCAGCATGTTTTGTCTGTGTCTGGTTGATTCGCCCTGCGGTGCTTGGGGCGTTTTCTATGCACATATCGTGACAACCGATCCCTTGCAGCTGAGGGAGTCTAGTGATTCGATGTGCTCTCTTCGACGCACAGGACCATGACCGTGTTCCTCCCTCTCTTATGGAGGGATATGTCTGGTTCTGTGCGCGGGAGTGTTTGTAGAGCCCGGAGCCGATCAAGAACCCATACCCTTTTGTCGTTTAGGGAGAGCTCTTTGCTTTTGTGAGTGAATTTGAAAAGCACAGCATCCTTTTCGTATAGCGCATTGACCTCTTCCACATGCTCTTCGGGGTACTCCCACACGTCCACCTCTGTCCCTCCGCCCCCCCACCCCCCACCCCCGCCCCAAATCAGCTGGGACTTTCTCCTTGAGTGTTTTCACTTGAGATCTGATGCAAGGTCTGTTGACTAGAAAGTTTAATGCCCGTTGACCTAATCTGGCCAGCCCCTGGTTGACTTCTTGGTCGCCTCAGTCCCTGCCGTGCCGGCTGTAGAGCCCTGCCGTGCCCGTCCTTGATCCGGCCAGTGCTGACCGTTCGGGCTGATGCGTGTTCACCACTTGGGCATATGACATGCCCACGACTCTACGTACATCCTCGCCTCTTGTGCCGCGAAGTTGTGCGTGTGTTGCCATGTTGGTAATAAGAACTGTGCTCTCCTGCTTGCTTATCTGCCCACTCCGCTGCTTTCTCTACTTGTGGCTAAGCTCGCTCTCTCTAGCTATGCTTCGCCTCTGCTGTCTTGTTTTATTTGCTTTGTCCCCTCGATTCCTGCTGTTGATCGTAGCATTTGCTACCCCCACCTCCCCTCGTTTCTCTGTCGCCCCGGTCCCGATCGGCAATACGCGTGTCACATTCGTGTATATCGTGTGTTCTCACCTCTGTGGCACACGTCACCTTAGCAGATGAACACCAATGCACCCACAGAGAGTTACCTACACGTCTGTGATGGGCTCAACGCACCTTCTTGGCCCCAGCCCCGAGGGCTGTTTCAGCAGGCACAGCAATCTTCATACACGCCAAGTCTGTGACAGCCCAAGACTTGGTTGTTGAAGAAGTACAAACAGATAACAATGGAGGCAGATATGGGTCAGACTAGACTTCACATTGAAACAAGAACACTTTTGTCTTCTAGAAGTACAAACAGATAACAACGAAGGCAGATGGGTCAGACTAGACTACACACTGAGACAAGAACACTTTTGTCTTCTAGCTGTGTACTGTCTAAACACACGGCAGCAGAGGGCAGACACTGCTAGCATTTGCTCGGGGTCTCATGTCACTGTATCTCCTGCATGTAGCTGGTCTATGAGCTTGTTTGAGTGTCGGTCTTGATCTTCTGAACGAAGTATTTAGTCATCTTCTTGCCTTCCTCCAGCTCTTTGACTCTTTTTTTCCCTCGTGCGCGTTCCTGCCTCCTTCCACCTCTTCCACACTGCCAGTCTCTGTTTTGCTGCAAACAGCACGTCTTCCAAGTAAATTGATCGCTTCCTTCCTGTGCAAGGATCCTTCCATCGAAAGACTTGTGGAAGAATCGGCCGCACGGGGACACGAAGTCAGCCTACCGACAACCCAACTCTTTGCGGATGAGCTCACAGCGGTTATCAGAGCCTCCGACCTCATTCCAGGTCCTGACATGTACAATGCAAGCCTTCCAATTGGCCTCCGAAATGAAAGTCAACTGGCGGAAGACAGTCGGGTGGTGGTTGGCGGATTGCCCAGAACCCCCACCGACCATCTCCCCAGAGGGATTCTCATGGCAGACCCCAAGACACCCCTGCGTTTCTTGGGCATAAAGCTGACAGAGACAGGACCTGACCACGCAATGGTGCCGGAGATCCTAACAAGGATGCTGCGCAAGATGGACACGTGGTCCAGCATCTACACCTCGGTGTTCGGCCGGGCGTTGGTGCTAAATGCCTCCATCTTCTCCATGCTCTCGTATGCAGCTACAATCTGGACACCAGAACAGAAAATGGCCAACACCCTGAAACGGCGGGCCACACCACAGCCTATCTTTGGACAGGCAACCCGGCAAGGGAAAACTTCATACCGTCATGGTCACATGTGGTGCAGCCAAAAGGCAAGGGGGGCCTGGGAAATCTTGACCCCGTCGTGCAAACCTTTTAAAGAAAAGATTCTCTGAAAAAGAACTGAAGATTTGGCAAATCTGTTTAAGCTAAAGGGAGTCCTCCTTTTCTTCATTAGGGCAACTGAGGACATACTCGCACAGTGTAGAAGAAGCTATCCTATCCAAGTGGGTGGTCAAACTGCTCACTCAACAAGCCTTGCCATGGACTTCCTTGGGCTGCACCGAATGCGACAACTGCTTCAAGCCGCCACACCAGCTAACATGCAAGGTCCATTCTGGGTGATGGCTAAATTATGGTTGACCCGCATTAATTCTTTATTTTCCCCTTTTTTAGGTTGGGAGTTAACCTCAGGCCCAGTTATCAGCATAGGAAGCTCACCTGTACAGTCAATCCCCGGGTTTCGGGCAATCAATGCTGGCAGGAGTGCACAGAAAAGTTGAGATTTCGGATGAGCAGTCAACCCCCTCGTCGGAGGGCAATCAATGCTGCCAGCCAACAACAATCTGCATGTTCTGATGACCTTCATAATGTTCAGGGACGCTGGACCCGATTTCCAGCAGGTGCTGCTCCCCACCAATAGATGGAGCCTCCATGGGAGTACTAGCGGTGTCTGCTCTTACCAGCACCCCTAG